GACACTAGAGGCAGTGTGGAAGGAGGGTGGGAGAGGGGAAAAGTACAGGGAAGGAAATTGGGGAGAAAAACAGAGGCAAGATATTTGTGGGACACAGAAGTGGTTTATTACCTGTTGATGGTAATGTATATAGTATGCTCAACCGGATTGGTCTGAGGTATATTTCATGTTGGGTAAATTCTCTTTATAAGCCAAATGATATATAGCAATTGAATATTTTAAAAATACTATTACTACTACTGATAATAAAACACTTTTAAAAAGAAAGAAAGACAGACATCAAAACAGCAGCTTCCAATTCAGGATGTAAGTTGTGGGCACTATGAAAGGTTTTTTTGTTTTTTAATTATTTTATTTATTATTTTTTAATTTGACCAGAGAGAGAGAGAGGGAAAGTGAGAAAGCAAGCTGCCAAGTCTGAGATCTGAATAGTGGTCCGCCATATGGGAGCTCAGTGCCCTTAACCACCACATCCTCTGCCAGCTTCCTCTTATCTTTCTTTTATTTATCTTTTGATAATTATTTATTTTATTTTTATGTTATGTTATTTATTCATTCATTTTATTTTAATTTGACCAGAGAGAGACACGGGGAGGGGGGGAGTAAGAAAGCAAGCTGCCAAGTCCAGGATTCGAACTGTGGTCGACCATATGGGAGTGTCCAGCACCTTAACCACCACGCCACCTACTGGTCCCTGGGCACTGTGAAAGTTTTAAAATAGGGACCAGCAGATGGAATAATGGTTATGTCGCTGGACTGCCAAGTAGTCCACCACAGTTCAAGTTCCAGATCCGGTGGCTTAAAACTCATGCTGGGCACAGGTATGTGTGTGCTCCCAAAATCCTGAGAGGAGACTAGAGGAGAAGGGATTTTGGCTTGGCTATTCTTCCTGGAGGGTGATTTCTCACTTTCTGTCTCTCTCTGGCGCACACACACCCTACAGCAAAAATCTCTCTTTAAAAAAAAAAAAAGTTTAAAAATAATAGTAAGGGCCCAAGACCCACCCTGGAACCACTGAATCCCAATTTTCCAAGGGAGAGCCTTGTAACAAAGTTCTTTCTTTTTAGTTTGTTATAGGGTTGTATGCTCGACAAAGAGAGAGAGAGAGAGAGAGAGAAAGAGAGAGAGCACACACACCCCCCGGGGGGAAGATAACCACACCGCAATCCCTTCTCCTCCACTCTTGTCTCGGGATTTGGGGCACACATATACATGCACCTGTAGTGTTTTTCAAGCTGCTGAGTCTGGGACTGGAACTGTGCAGTCAGCCATGGGGACCCAGCTGCCTTAGTCACCATGCCACCTAGCTGGCCCCAATAAGGTTCTTTTTCTTTTTCTTTTCTTTCTTTTTTTTTTAAATATTTTTAAATTATTTACCTAGCTGGCCCCAATAAGGTTCTTTTTCTTTTTCTTTTCTTTCTTTTTTTTTTTTTAATATTTTTAAATTATTTATAATTGTATTTATTCATTCATTTGTTTTAATTTGACCAGAGAAACAGAGAGAGAGAAAATGAGAAAGCAAGCCACCAGGTCTGGGACTTGAACCGTGGTCAGCCATATGGGAGTGTCCAGCGCTTTAACCACCATGCCACCTGCTGTTCCCCAACAAGGTCCTTTTTCAAGAGATTTTTGAATCCAGCCTTACTAAGAAGAAAGGTGCCTTGGGCTCTCTGTGAACAGAAGGACATCCTGCCAGGTTGGGAATGTAGTCGTGGTCTGATGGGGTCTCATGCACAGAGGCAGGCTTATCCAACTGCAGCCAGTGTGCCTCTGAGAGGTGGGGCTGAAGGATGACAGACCCCACACACAAAAGATCCCAACCTTCAGCACCCCCTCCCCCACCCCAGGAAAACTGACGATCTAAAACTAATGGGGATAACACCATCTCCGCAGTGATGCAGACAATACAAACAATGAACACAGGAAGCTCCTAAGAACTGTGCCCCTGGGGAAGAGGGCTAGATGGCTGAGAACAGTGGTCAGACAGGGAACTCCATTGCTGTGGTAACTCATGCACATGCCTTCGAAAGTTGCATTATGTGAAAGTATTAACTGGCCGGCTACAGTTCTAACCTCAGCCCCAGAGCATTGCAAAACATACTGGGCACGTGTGTTCTTGTGCGAAATCCCGGCAGGATGGAGAAATGGAGAAGGTATGTCTCTCTGGGGATGCTTTCTCCCTCTCCCTCTCTGTCTCTATGTCTGGAGAGCACATGTACCTTCTGACAAAAAGAGAGAGAGAGAGAAAAAAAGCTGATGGGACCAGCAGATGGCATAACTGTTGTATCGGTGGACTCGCACATAGTCGACTGTGGTTTGAGTCCCGGATCCAGCTGCTTAAAACTCATTCCAGATGTGTGTGCATGCATGCCCAAAATCCTGACAGGAGATTGGAGTAGTGTGGTCATACCCCCCGGGGGGTGATTTCTTGCTTTCTGTCTCTCTGTCTCTCTAGTGAGTACACACATCCTATAGCAAAAATCTCTCTTAAAAAAAAAAAAAAAGCTACTAACTAGCTGAGAAAAAATTGTTGATGGAAGAACAGGACTGAGAGAACCCACTGGGTGTAACTCAGATATACATGATCTGAGGCCTCAGTTGTGGACCACAAGCCTCACCTGGGGTAGCTGTCAAAGTTGGCTTGACTTGCAGCTTCAAGTGCCCAAAATCCCGAGAGGAGAACGGAGAACGATGTGCTGAGGCCATCCCCACGCCCCCCCGCCCACCTCCCAGCTAGTGATTTCTCACTTTCTCTCTCTTCCTATTTCTGGGGAGCTCACACATCTTATGGAAAGCATCTAAAAAATAAATAAATAGATAAAGGAGAAACTGAGATGGGAAAAGGTCAGAACTAGAAGGGTCAGGGGTTGGCAGGTGGAGTGGTGGTTAAGGGTGCTGGACTCCTGCATGGCTGACTGCAGTTCCAGTCCT